GACTCACGGGCCTAAGCCGGCTCGGCCCACGCCTACCCCTACTTGCGCTCCTAGACGTTTATCAATTTGCATGTACACTCGCGCAAAATTTTACATCCGTCCGCCTACAAATTATAAAAATTGCACCCAACAACCCAAAACACTAAATAAATTAGTAAGAATTTGAATTAATTTAATGAAAAGTAAATCTCATTTAAAGATATAGCAAAAAGCTTTATTGAGTGCATTCCCATTATGTATTTTAGCTTTGTAATGTTATATTTTTACTTCTAGGTAACTTATCATCAGCCCCTAAAGAAAAATTTCTGGATACGCTACTAGATGTGATGACATGCATTTCTTGGATTTGTTTTGAGTTCGAAGAGATGAGGAAGAAGAAGACTGAGGGAATAAATGGGGAGAGATGAGTATTTTAGTAATTTACCAGCCTAGGTTTGTCTTAACTTAACCACGGTTGAGGATTTTGGATAGAAATAGTAATAGATAGACTAATATCAACTTACTAATGTAATTTGGAAGACTAATATGAAAGTATAAAAATGTGAGGGAATTAGTATCAAAATAGTGATGAATGTAAGGGACTAAGGGCCTGTTTGGTTCGTTTCCTTCACTTTCCATGAATGACTTTCCTTCACTTTCCTGAAAAATATTTCTTGTGTTTATTTCGCCAAAAAATATGGAGTGAAAGTACTTTCCACCATTTTTCTTAGCTTGGTTCAACTTGAAAAAAGAAAAAAATAATTGAATTGTCAATAGATTCCCTCATTTTCTAGTGTTTGGTTCAAACTAAAAAATCAAGAAAACTTGATTATGGTCACCATGGTAAGGTTACCACTCATCATCATAGTTGTGCATATAAACATGAAAATTGTGAACAAAATCAATTATCTTATGATCACAATTGAATCAAATGATGAATAACAGATTAGCACAAAACTAAACCCAAAGCAATGTTGGCTGCAATATATTTTGTGCTCAGAAAAGGCTCTTTTTTCATTTTCTACCTCGCCATGAAGTTTATAAATAGCAATGTTGGCTGCAATATATTGCCTCGCCAATATATTGTTGCTATAAACTTTGGCTGCATATCTAAAAAAAACTCATCATCATAACACAAAATATGCATACCAACCAAAGGCCAAGCATCAATTAGCAAACCAAAGAACTGCAACAAGACCAAAGACCCACAATGGCTGGAAACACACTTGGTTGAACGCAAGGCCAAGACCAAGGCTGAAACCAGCATGTAATGCACAAACCAGCATCAATTAGCACACAACTGAACCCAAGGCTGAAGCAACAACTGGGAAAGCATAGGACTGAAACCAAAGGACAAGCAACACTTAGCAAGCACACAACTGAAATCACATGCAAGCACACAACTGAAACCAAGGCTGAAGCAACAACTGGGAAAGCATAGGACTGAAACAAAAGGACAAGCATCAATTAGCAAGCACACAACTGAAATCACATGAGGGGAAACAACTGAAACCAAGGCTGAAGCATCAACTGGGAAAGCATAGGACTGAAACCAAAGGACAAGCATCAATTAGCAAGCACACAACTGAAATCACATGAGGGGAAACAACTGAAACCAAGGCTAAAGCAACAACTGGGAAAGCATAGGACTGAAACCAAAGGACAAGCATCAATTAGCAAGCACACAACTGAAACCACATGAGGTGAAACAACTGAAACCAAGGCTGAAGCATCAACTGGGAAAGCATAGGACTGAAACCGAAGGACAAGCAACAATTAGCAAGCACACAACTAAAAGTAGACAGAAAGCACACAACTGAATCCAAGGCTAGAAATCCATAATTGAATATAAGGCCAAGAAACAGATGGAAAGCACACAACTGAAAAAAGACAGTTGCTGGAAATGAATAAGGAATGCACACAACTAATAAATGTGCTCAGAAAAGGCTATTTACTTCATTATCTGCCCCGCCATGAATTTTATAATAGCAATGTTGGCTGCAATATATTGCCTCGCCAATATATTGTTGTTATAAACTTTGGCTGCATATCTGAAAAAAAGCCCATCATCATGACACAAAATATGCATACCTCATTAACTTTAATTCAACGAGGTGAAACCATTCACCTTTCCCCACTTGCAAACCTGTTCAAACAAGTTTGCATTAGCCAAATAATATTCGATAAAACATTTAAAGTCACGACTGAGATGCATGATGATAGAGATAGTAGCATTAGCTTTGCACAAATGATAGAGATAGTAGCATTAGCTTTACACAAAATATACATCTACCATTGTTGATGTATCCAAAAGGATGAGCAATCATCTAGCTCATTTTCATACAAAAATAATTACACAAACATGGATATAATTAGCTAGTTTCACAAAAATATCCCAAAAGTTAGGCAATCCACAATACCACCACTCTAATCAAGAGGATGACTCTTCATGAACTTAGTCAACACCTTCTTTTGCATAATAGTTAGCCTCCCCATAAACAACATAGCTTGTGATTCATTCTCATGCAATTCTTGATAAAAAGTTATCAAGAATTTATATGTCGAATTCATCATCATGTGCAAATATAGCTTTTGCCAACTTCTCCGTCCAATGCATACTCACCATGCGCATATATGAGGTGAATTGTTTTACCTCACTTACTATCTCACGCATAAGCACTGTATCCTCACTAGACCCCCCCCCCCCCCCCCCCCCTCTTTCCCCCGTCATTTTTAGCTTTGTTCAAACTAGAAGATGGATTGGATTTTGGTGGCATAGTTGGAACCTTCGGTAGTGGAATATCATCTTCATCTAAAGAGACATAGCTAGGCGTCTTCTCCGTTGGCGTACTAATATCATCATCATCAACACCAATACTAAAATGTGCACTACAACCAAATTGTGACATAACATCTACCGCATAATCTCCTCTAGCAACATCGTCTCCTATAATATTTGCGAGGTCTTCATAATGTTTCATGGGCTTGTTGATGTATTCCCTAAGTTTAGAACTATTCATACTATTGTCCTGCATAGTTAAGGCATAATATCAAATACTTATATAAACAACATTGAACAAATTAGAAATATTTTTAGGTGTAATGACCACTAGAAAATAATTCATACCTCTAGCCATCTATCAAAGCAAGCCTCATCCATAGTTATCATCTTTTGTGCATCATCCCAACCGGCACCGCTCAAGTTACGACATTTTTGCATGTCCAAGAATCTATTACGAATAGTTTTCATACAATTTTCCACGTTCTCGGTGGTGAACGATGAACCTAATTTTTCATTTATATGAAAGGCGGCGCTACAATAAGCGGTTTTTTTGAACTTCTTATCCGCCTTCATTCCATCTTTAACACACTTTGCAAGACAAGAAATTAGCAAATCATCATGTTTACTCTCCCATATTTGGTTAACTCTCTGCTTGCAAGCCTCTTTTTTTAGATTTATGAGCAATAGCTTTCTTTTTCCTCTTTGGATTAGGAGATGAACTTTCATCACCATCGAGGCAAATATCACTTCTCTTGTTGCTTTGTGATTGTTGATTAGGTGACGGAGTTTCACCCATGCTACAACTTTGACGTTGTAAAGTTGGAGGAGCATTTAGCATGCTCATGAATGACATTGGGGGTGGTTGGCCAATTCCCCAAAAGTTAGCATCATGCATTTGAAAATTATTCCAAAAATTAGAACCTTGGCCAACTTGTGAAGAGTGGTAAGGCATAAATCCCGGATTGAACCCACAAGGGATTGATGAATTCCTTGGGGTTCTAGGTGATGAATTTGATGTCGTACTCTTTCCTTTGACCTTATCAAGTTCCTCACAATTGAAGTTGTCGGCCTGTAGGCGTCAAAAAATCCTGAAAGATATCCAAATACAGCTCGAGAGGAGATCATCAAAAAAATCACAGATATGAACTGTCTTGCCAACGAGACAGTCTTTACTGTCTCGCAAGCGAGACAGTCTTT